AAAAAAAAAAAAAACTTTATAATAGAGTACTTCAAACACTTCATCCTTATATGCACAAAACCCAGATGCAACAAATACCAACATTTTATTTCTGATTTTTGGAATAAAGGGGAAAAATCATTATTTAGCAAATATTCATTGACATCTTTTATGTACAATGCTTAGAAATGCATTCTTTGCTCATTTATGTTGCTTTTGAAATTAGCCATGTAACTTTAGGAGCTTGAATAAAACTTTTTTTTTAAATACTGGTAGGTTTTTAAAAGCATACTAAATTTTGAGGAATAATAAAATACATATATAAACGATAACATTTTCAGGAGCTCATTAAATTTTTGCAAAATTGTCTTAGATTTTTATAGATTAAAAGTTAATTTTTAAGTGGCTGAGTCTTCAATAAAACAAGTCTTTGAGAATATTAAAGCTCCCTTTATTTTTGGTATACTAAATGCAGTGATCAGCTAAAATGGTTTTAACTAAATGCCTCAGCTTCATTTACTATAACCACTTCTTCTTAAGTGACTATTTTTCAATCTCATTAGTTTTACTGTCTAGATTACTGATGTCTAAGGATTCAGGTGTCTAATAGATAGTGGTGAAAATGTTGGCAATTCTCTAGCTATGCATTTTTGGCCTCATATTTTGATCTTTTTATTGTAGATGCTGTTGCATGAAAAAGCAGAGGCTTTGCAAGAAGAAGTAGAAGAGTTATTGAGATTGCCTTCTGATTTCCCTGGTATAGTGTCCTCTTCCATTGAAAAGGCATGAAGCTATCTGATGAGCATTTTCAGTTTGAATTATTTATTGTACGTTTTCAGTATGAATTATTTATTGTGTTTTATTAAAGATTCCCTATACTTTATAAAGAAAAAATATATTTTTTAATTATACATTAAGTACTATGGCTAATGTTTGAATATACCTCTCACCCATAATTGTGGTAACCTTCTCACTAATAATCCATCTTTTTCAATACTTACATTTATTTATCTGCTCAAAAATCGATAATGTCCACCACAAAATGAAATCCGACTTCCTCAACATATCCCCAGTCTACCTTTGTAGCCAGATCTTTAGTTATTCTCCTACCCATTTCTTTCACCAAACTGCACTATTTGAAATCCCAAGAATTTTACCTGTAATTTCCAAACCCTTCATTTCCTGACTGCTTTATGTTATTCCCAGGGCATGAAAATTATCTTTAAAATGTGCTATGTAGGGCCGGCCTGGTGGCGCACTGCTATAGTGCGCCGCTTGGGAAGCGTGGTGGCGCTCCCGCCGAGGGTTTGGATCCCACATACAGACCGGTTCCCACTCACTGGCTGAGCGAGGGGCGGGAGCAACACCACCGAGGGTTGCAATCCCGTTGCCGGTCCCGGTCCGGTACGGGTGCGACACTGAGGGTTGCGATCCGTTGCCGGACACGAAAAAAAAAAAGGAAAAAAAAAAATGTGCTATGTACATTTTACTTGTACTTCAAGTATGAACTAAAAACACTCAAATGCTGTTTCCTCTATGAAATTATTTCAGGATTATCCTTACCCCCACCCCATACGTGAGTGCTTTTTCTATAAATATTTTGGGCCCTTCCTTTATGCCCATCTCTTTGTTTCTGCTACTAGTTTGTAATCTGGAGGGCCAAGACTTTTTTTATCATCTTTGTATGCCACACAGCACCTACAACACTTTATTGCACAAAGTAGGAACCTCAGTGAAGAATGAATACTACCCAAATTAACAGGTTTTTTTTGTTTTGTTTTGTTTTTTGGGTGGCTGGCCAGTATGGGGATCTGAACCATTGACCTAAGTGATCAACACCATGCTCTAACCAACTGAGCTAACCAGCCAGACCCCAAATCAAGAATTTGAAGATTCTCTTTAAACACTTAAATATTGCCTCTTCCTCCTTTCTTTTCAGAATTATAGCTTAAATATAGATGATGCTGGTACAAGAAAAAAGGTGAAAATTAGCAATATTTATGAGTGTTAATCTGGTTTGGTTAAAGTTCTACTCACCTGTTTAAGAAACATCCAGTGGAAACCTTGCAAAGAGATTCACAGTCTTAGTTCTTTGTGCCTTACATTTTAAACCATTATAGTATATAGCAGTCATTTACATAGTACTTTCTACATGCTAGGAACCACTAGGATGTAATGCTAGGGAAAAAATGAAGGCCAGGTGAGAGGAACACTTAGCATTACATCCCAATATTGCATCCTTGCCCCACTCCTATATCTACATCTTTTTATATAAGCCAAAGTATAGCATCCTTTTTTTTTTTTTAAAAAAAAGATGACTGGTAAGGGGATCTTAACCCTTGACTTGGTGTTGTCAGCACCAGCTCTCCCAAGCAAGCCAACCAGGCATCCCTATATAGGGATCCGAACCCATGGCCTTGGTGTTATCAGCACCACACTCTTCCAAGTNACGGGTGCGACACTGAGGGTTGCGATCCGTTGCCGGACACGAAAAAAAAAAAGGAAAAAAAAAAAATGTGCTATGTACATTTTACTTGTACTTCAAGTATGAACTAAAAACACTCAAATGCTGTTTCCTCTATGAAATTATTTCAGGATTATCCTTACCCCCACCCCATACGTGAGTGCTTTTTCTATAAATATTTTGGGCCCTTCCTTTATGCCCATCTCTTTGTTTCTGCTACTAGTTTGTAATCTGGAGGGCCAAGACTTTTTTTATCATCTTTGTATGCCACACAGCACCTACAACACTTTATTGCACAAAGTAGGAACCTCAGTGAAGAATGAATACTACCCAAATTAACAGGTTTTTTTTGTTTTGTTTTGTTTTTTGGGTGGCTGGCCAGTATGGGGATCTGAACCATTGACCTAAGTGATCAACACCATGCTCTAACCAACTGAGCTAACCAGCCAGACCCCAAATCAAGAATTTGAAGATTCTCTTTAAACACTTAAATATTGCCTCTTCCTCCTTTCTTTTCAGAATTATAGCTTAAATATAGATGATGCTGGTACAAGAAAAAAGGTGAAAATTAGCAATATTTATGAGTGTTAATCTGGTTTGGTTAAAGTTCTACTCACCTGTTTAAGAAACATCCAGTGGAAACCTTGCAAAGAGATTCACAGTCTTAGTTCTTTGTGCCTTACATTTTAAACCATTATAGTATATAGCAGTCATTTACATAGTACTTTCTACATGCTAGGAACCACTAGGATGTAATGCTAGGGAAAAAATGAAGGCCAGGTGAGAGGAACACTTAGCATTACATCCCAATATTGCATCCTTGCCCCACTCCTATATCTACATCTTTTTATATAAGCCAAAGTATAGCATCCTTTTTTTTTTTTTAAAAAAAAGATGACTGGTAAGGGGATCTTAACCCTTGACTTGGTGTTGTATTGCATCCTTGCCCCACTCCTATATCTACATCTTTTTATATAAGCCAAAGTATAGCATCCTTTTTTTTTTTTAAAAAAAAAGATGACCGGTAAGGGGATCTTAACCCTTGACTTGGTGTTGTCAGCACCAGCTCTCCCAAGCAAGCCAACCAGGCATCCCTATATAGGGATCCGAACCCATGGCCTTGGTGTTATCAGCACCACACTCTTCCAAGCTCCCAAGCAAGCCAACCAGGCATCCCTATAGAGGGATCCGAACCCATGGCCTTGGTGTTATCAGCACCACACTCTCCCAAGTGAGCCATGGGCCGACCCTCAAAGTATGGCATCCTAATGTCCTAGTAGAATTGTGGGCTTCACTGTACATGTCCCATTTGTTGCACTAAAAAAATTGTAAAAGAGCAACTGACTAGTCTGCTGGCTATGCAGGCCAGCCTCTGAGGTGCGTTCATGTGGTTCATGTCCAGTGTTAAGCTTTTTAAAGTCTAGAAACCCCAGTTTTACTCGTTTGCCAAAGTGAATAAGGTTCTGATTCTCGCTAACCAATTTATGAGAGAAATAGAATATTTGTATCTGAAGTCCAGGACAATACGCACATTTTTCTAGGTCAATCTAACAAATACTGTATCAAGTGTAGTGATGGGGGATTAGCTTTTAAAAGATATTAAAATTTAAAGAAATTTAAACAGTTTAGGTCTAGAGAAGAAAAGCAAAGTAGATAAGTGGGAACAGAGTGAAGAATTAGAAATAGATCCAAACATTTAAGAATTTAATCTATAATAAACATGATTTTTAATTTTGAGTGGTAACTGGGATAAAACAAATAAAAATTAGAAAAAACTTCCCTGGAACTGGTGAAAAGCATTAAAAGGGCTCACAAAGTCCTGACCAATACCCAGACACACTGCCATGAAAAATCAGGACACTCAGGATAAAGCTTCTAGGGGGGAAAAATAGAAATATTACAAACCAAAGGAGTAAAAATTGTATTAACATCTATTTATTGGTTATGCTGAAAGACAATAAAACCATATCTTCAGAGGTGTGGAAAAAGTGTTCTGGATATCTATGCCCATCCTAGCGTACAGGTGAACATTTTGAGACCTGCAAGGACTTAGAAATCTCTTAGACTCCAGATTCTTTTGTGAGAGAAAAATAAACTAATTCACTTAAACCATTTTATTTTTTTAGACTCTGAGGTGCAAAAGTTTATCCTTTTCCCTAAAGGATATTAACTATTGCGACCCTGTGGCTTGTTCTACATTGACTGCAGATAGCATCAGCATTGGGAACTATTTGAGCAAAATATACAAAGATCGGATTCAAAAGAAAATATCTGATTTATGATTCACCTTTCATACCTAACCTGGAGTAGGAATATGTCCATTTGCAAGAACAGTTCTGATATTACCTTTGTATTTGTGAAGCAATCTCCACTCTCTAAATAATATGGAAAATGCCCAGGTTAAAGCAAGACCAAATTATTATTTCTCTTGTATTTTTAAAGTATGTACTCAGGTGTGATGATCACAAGGGATACAATATTGACAATCAATGATGATTTTTAATGTTTCTTTTGTGAAAATTTATAGTCTATCAGGATATTATATGATAAATTCACTCAAAAGTTCCTGAAAGACATTAACACGTGAGAAAAAACAGAGTTGAAGTCGAGTTGTACCAGACTAAATAAAAAGGGTAGTTTTCTGCAATCCAAACCCTCCAGATAGTTGGAATAATTACACCAAAATATAGGGTGAGTGTTTTCTGCCATTCACACCAACAAGGGACTCAGCACTCGATGTTAAGGAGGTATGAGCTGCCTTCTCCACTAAGCTGTTAACATTGAGCTCTCTTTTGCCTCTTATAGTTGTGTTTAGAATGTTCCGAAGCGACCTTGGAAGAGAAAACTGGGTATGATAAGTTAGCATCCTTCATTTCCTTCATTTTTCATGTTTAAAATAGTCTTTTGATCCTTTTCTTCAGTAAATAGTTACCAAAGTATTATGTAGCCATTGGGACTTAGAAAACAATGCCCCAAAAGTATGGCACTTTGGCATGCTGGACACTGTACTAAAATAGGAAAGCCTTAGAAGCTGCCTCAGAACTAAAGACTTCATAATCTTCTTTCTTTTCCCATCCCCTCCCCCACCATCATAGGGAGGGACTCCCTCTGGAATATCCTTATGTGACTAGGGAAACTTCTTTCCAAAATAGTGCAATTGTCTTAAGACCTCCTCCCTAGGAATTTTATTTTAAAAACAGGAAAGATTAAACACCTGCGAAGAGAAGAAACTAAAAGTTCTCATCATGCCCAGATAGACCTTTCATCTATTCTTCCTAGGGCAACTGCAAGAGATTGCCTGGGAGGCTTTATCTACATAATAAAATGACCTTTGTTCACAATGAAGTTCCACCCTTCACCTTCCTACCACCTCCCTGAGAGTTCAGAGGAACTTTAATTCAGCCCATTGCTCTTTGGGCTCAT